TAAAATCCCGATATCCCGACAGAAACACCCCAATATCCCAATAAAAACAATCCCAATCTCCCGCCACCAATGCCCCGTGTTCCTGAGGGGATTTTCCCCCTCACCGTGGGAATTTCTTTTGGGAATATCTCTGGGAACTCGGTTCATTATTAACGGAATAAAACCCCCGTTTAAACCTTCCCTGTCCCTCCTGGAATCCTGGAATGGTTGGACTTGGGAAGAGATCTCCAAGCTCCTCCTGTAGGGATGGATTCCACAGTGTTTTCCTGCCCCATTCCCAGTTTTCTTTCCCTGTTCCTTGTCTTCCTGCCCCATTCCATTTGCTTTCCTGCCCCATTCCATTTGTTTCCTTGCCCCATTCCCAGTTTTCCCGTCCCATCCCATTTTCCCACCCCATTCCCAGTTTTCCCACACCATCCCATTTTTGTGCTCCGATCCCTGTTTTCCTACTCCCAGTTTTCCTGCCCCATTCCCTGTTTTCCCACTCCATCTCCCAGTTTTCCTGCCCCATCCCAGTTTTCCCAAGGCCCCCTCAACACACGGAGACCCCAAAAACACCTTTATTGGTACAAACGGCTGGAACGGGAACGGCGGCGTCGGCGGGAATGGGACTGGGAGGGACTGGGAGGGACTGGGAGGGACTGGGAGAGAACTGGGAGGGCACTGGGAGGTGCCGCAGCTGTGACTGGTCGTAGAGCCTCAGGTTCATCCAGGGTGAACTGGGAGGGACTGGGAGAGAACTGGGCAGTGCCAGAGCTCCAGATTCATCCCACTGTGGACTGGGAGGCACTGGGAGGGCACTGGGAGAGAACTGGGAGGTGCCAGAGCTCCAGGTTCATCCAGTATTGGATTGGGAGGGACTGGGGGGTACTGGGAGAGACTGGGAGCTGCTACTGGTAATGGAGCTCCAGGATCATCCCATCGTGGACTGGGAGGGCACTGGGAGGAACGGGGAGCTGCTACTGGTAGTAGAGCTCCAGGTTCATCCCGTCATGGATCTCATCTGGAGCCACTGTCAAGGAAAAGGGGACTGGGAGGCTTGGGGGGGGGTCAGTGGATTTTGGGGTGTCAGG